TTTTTTCATCTTTTTAATTAGAAAAATATAAAACCTGAGTAAGCCTAAAGAACGTCGATTGAACAAAAAGTTGCTGATTAAAATATGTTTGTATTGAATGCATAATGCATTATAATGGGTTTATGTGAAGACTGTTTTAAGTTTACTTAAATTAAAACTTATAATATTTTTTAATATTCTATAACAGTTTAGACCTATTAAAAACAATGGCCCAAATGTTACGGCTATATTTACTCATTTCATGCCCATAAATTGATTTAAATATCAGTATTCATATTGGAATCTGGGATACTTGCCTTCTTTCATAGCACTTAGAAAAAAAAATGTACTGACATTATAAGTGAATGATTTAACCCTCTTAAAATACTCAAACTGAAAAGTCAAATTGACCTGTAGGGACACTCCTCTCCTCTCTTACACTCTCCCTTCACCCAGAAGGAGCAGATATGGGGTCTGTTGCGTTTGTAGTATGGCGTGGGTCGCGCCAGCTTCAGCAGCATGTCACTGGGGTTCTGTGCTTTACCCAGCATCCCTACCAGTCTGGTACCGTCTGAGTTTTGGATCTGACACAGACAGCAAACCAAGAGATTACATAAAGCACATGCTACAATTTTACATTTTTCTTTTTTCAGGCATTGGATTTCTTAGATGTAATATTTGTATTAAATGTCACCTCTCTCTCCATGTTCTGAGTGTAATATTCCTTGTTCACGTCAGACCTCGGCATGTCATCTTTGATGGACATGCCCGTGTCTCTGACCTGGATTGGAAGACCTGTAAACACAAACATTACTTAAGGCCATTATTCGCAAACTGTTCTGTCAGTCAAACTACTTTAATGTGAAATATTTACTTAGAGTAAGATTTTAACTTAATATTTTGATAATTTAACAACACATTTGCATGTGCAGGTAAACAAAAAAATAATAATTTATTTAATTTCATTTATTAATAATCTTTTTTTAATTATTTTGATTGTTTTTATTTTAAAATTATTTATTGTAATGTTTCTTTTTTATAATTTAATGAATTACACAGCCACAGATTTGCAAAAAAAGGTCTAATATAATATTTTTTGAGTTCAAAAATATCAATAAAAACTTTTCATTACATAGTTTTTTCACAAAATAAGAATGAAGATTTTTCAAATTATATAAAGTGCGACAGTGTGGCATTGCAAACATACCCTCTGATATGCAGGGTTATTACAGTTAACTAAAACTAAAACCATAAAAAAAATGTATTTCAGCTAGATTGCAATTCAACATTTATTATTTTCATTTAGCTTAACTAAAACTGAAATAAAAAATAACAAAAACTACAGACATATTAAAAAACAAACTAAAAATGACAAAACACAACAAAATTACTAAAAATTACTTTAAAATGAAAATATAAAAATAAAAATTCTAAATATTAATAAAAACTATTATAGTATCTAAATTATACTAAAATGATAATGCTGATTCTGTTGATTTGCAAAAAATGTTACCTAATTTTTTTAGTTAAAAATATAAATTTTAAATCACAACAGTTTTTTTTTTCTTCCACAAATTAAGAAAGAAGATTTTTCAAATGCATGTACAGTTTAAGTTTTAATGACAAAAAAAGTAGTTAAATGTAGCATTTAACATACAATTTACTAAGGAGTGGAAGAATATGTTTAAAAACTCCATTTAATGTAAAATAACTTCACAAAATGAGTTTTTTTTTCCAACAAACTTTCTGTAATTTTTTTGTCACTGTTTGAATGTAGTAAAACACCCACATATGTAGCAGAAAACATCTAGCTTTTTTTTATTTTCTTGTGTCACTGGCCATAATTCTAATCTTGAAATCAGGATGTATTTCAAGGCATATATTAAAGTGCCCCTATTATGCTATTTGAAAGGTTCATAATTTGGTTTTGGGAGTCCCCAGCAACAGGTTTACATGCAAGCAAGGTCAAAAAAACTTTCATTTTCTTATAATATGCATTTAAATTTACCTTATTTCGACTCTCAAATGATTAGTTCGAAGATTCCACTTTCCAAACCCCTCCTTTGTGTGGGGCTACTCTGCTCTGATTGGTCCGATGACCCAGGCAGTCATGATTGGTCTACTGCGTACAGTGCGTGTCGGAAACGGAACGTAGTGAAAAACCCAAACAATAATGGTATATGCGTTAGCCGAACACAGACATGGAGTACTGATAAATCCCTGCAGTTTGTAAACCAATGTATTGCTCCATCCTTTATCATGACTCCAAGTAATAAGAACAACAGACATTCTATATTATTAATTCTATGTTAATTGACACATTTCTAGACAATAGCAGGCCCACAGCTGATTAGCAGAACTATAATGTGAGTTAGCCGGAGACTTACAGCGGCATTGAGTGTATACACAACACAACACACACAAAACTACATATTTTGCACGCTCAACAGAATATTAAAGCAACAATTATTAATCATACTTACAGGTTGTGATTCGGAGGAGCAAGCCGGTCCAAACAAACTGAACATAGTACATGGGAGGGCAATATGCAAATGTGGTAACGTGTGCCGTGTTAACGTCACAGAAATGGGATTTTTGGGAAACTTTGCAGATTGTTTACATTCACATACAGCTATGTTACACACTGCATGAAAGGTAATTTTCAAAAATCCATAATAGGGGCACTTTAAAGCCATACATGTGAAAATAGGCTGAGAATTGAAAAAATAGTAGTCTGGTAGAGAGGAAGAGATTTTCTGGTTTTGGTTCTGGTGTGTAACTTATACCGTACTCCAGGTCCAGCAAACATGTCTGACAGACGTTCTTCATCTTACTGCAGGTCTGACACACCTCAGTCTTCTTAAAGCGCATCCGTACTCCAGGACACCAGCGGAAAACAGTGAAGGGACGTGCACATATCTGAAAAACATTTAAAAGACTTTGATTTAATAACACACCTAGCTACAATTCTTTAGATACATGCCTACTGTATAACCAAACATCAGATCGTGAGCTCACCTTGCATTCCTTGCCATACTTTTCCTTAGTCTGCAAAAACAAAATATAAACAAATAATTATAAAATGAAAAGCTTCACGTTTACATTGATATTTTTAAATTACCCAAGAGTGACAAAAACAGCAACAACAAAAAAGCTTTCACTCTTTGCAGGTAACTTAAAAACTGAGATCACTTACCATGCGAATGTATGGATTTTCCCCAAGACATGTTTGACAGAGAATAGGGAAGTCCTGGAGTGAAAAAAGAGACAAAAACTTGAAAATCAGGACAACAAATGGCCTTTGACAAAATAAAATATAATAAAATAAAATATCTGCTAGCAGCTAGACAAAATAATAAATATATCATAGCTAGATATAATCCAGAGGACCTTTACATCATTGTTATATTTGGCCATTTTGTCCAGCTGTAAAACTTGCTCTATGTTAAAGCATTATCTATTATAGAGATAACAGTATGACTTTCTATAAATCAATTTGAATTGTGAAAAGTCCTATACAAACAAAATTTGGCAAAGGCTGTGTTGTATAAACATATGACAAGCAACCTATAAAGTGTTTTTATCGCATGAGCTCAGGCTTTCAAATGTCCAGTGGTATAACCTGATGATATTCATTAATGAAAGTCAAAATAATTGTTAAAAAAAACCTTTTATCATGGAAAATACTTTTGAAAACTTTTTTGAAAATAATTATTAAGATGAGTACAGTCATGTGCATTCAATGTGTACGCAAAACTCACTTTTTCTTCATTTCTTCATCACTAAATTACATCAAAATGTTGAAACTGATATACAAATCATTCAAAAACTGTATGAAATCAGCGCAAATACAAATATTACATTTATAAGGACTTGGCACATGCATTTAAAAATAGCTTTTATATCAGATAAGCTTTTATTGTGTCAAATGTTGACCCATTTCCAGCAATAAGTGCTTCGCTGTATCTTCACACTTGCGTTAAGATGCTGTATAAATTCCTGATCTCTCTGAACTGCTCTCTCAACAAGTTCTACCATGTCATTCACCTCATTAGAGGAGCTAAAGATAGTTTTAGCAATCACAGCAGCACTGATATCTGCTGAAGGAGCGAGTGCTGGCATTCTGGATACTCTAGGACTTTATCGCTCAGAAAGGGACAGACTTTCTGATCACTGCTAAAACCAAGTAGGGGTAACTGCAGGCTGGAGCAGTGGGCATGGCGAAAGATTAGGGCGAAACGAAAGGTAGGGTGTGGATAAAGGTCTTTCTAACTGGTTAGGGTTCGGGGTTAGTTTCTGTTGTAGCAATCACCTTTCGGCAAGCCCATTACTCCAACCTGCAGCTACCCCTGTCTCACTGAAACAGTTTCTAGTGTGCAGGATATTCAAGGCAGCCAGTTCTCATAACAGGTCACATAACACGTGACAAAGCCATTGTCTGGATGTTTAAACAGAACAGCATGTGCTGACATTTGGTACATCTAAAATCAGCTGTCTGTAAATAATGTCATGAAGACACTCTGATGTATTCAATGGAACAGCTGGATAAAAATAAATAACAGAGACGAATGGGATATATAAAGCCTTCTTAGACATCCCAAACATGAAATGCACATTGGCTTTAATAACTAACATTAACAATTAAATTAGCAGTTTGTTGAATCACAATGAGTGACATTCGTGGCGTGACCTTCTTTTTGACATTTTATAGATTTTTGATAAGCTTTTTGACGTTTTTGTTTGTTTGATTGTTTCTCTTCTAAACTGATATATTTTTTTTGCATTGCCAAGTGGTTACGTGAGAATAAAAAATAAGTAAACAAGCTTTTACCATGATAATGCCAAAAAGCATCATAACACTCATTACTAATATTTGATTTGTTTCTCTTCTAAACTGATATATTTTTTTGCATTGCCAAGTGGTTACGTGAGAATAAAAAATGAGTAAACAAGCTTTTACCATGATAATGCCAAAAAGCATCATAACACTCATTACTAATATTTGACACTTATGTAAAGATATTTGTAGAAAAATATTTGAAACTGATATTAAGACCTTCATTCATCAAAATGCCTCTGTGAACTTCATTAATGGTTTATTTTATATTCTAATACACACAGCAGACAGCAATATACAGCAGCAGAGTGCGCGAATTATTTCTCACTTTCCATAACTGTCAGATGAAAATGTGTCGTCAAAATCTCTATCTTTCAATAAGCGAAGACACAGACACATTTTTGAAGCAGTCTGCAGTGTGTTATGAGTTTGATAATTACTAAAACATACCGAATCTTCCCAGTTCTGTCTGTTGTAGGTGTTTGAGCCCAGGGACGTCGCCATAATCCACGCACGAAACGACGTCACGACGTCACGCATCCTCTTTACAAAGCTGTTCTTGGGACAAGATTGTATGTAATACTAAAACCAATAAAGTACTATGAAACTGACAAAAATAAATAAATAAACAGATGTTTTATATCAATGGTTTATTAAAAAATAAATAACGTAATTTTGTATACAGAGTACTGGGTGGAATTTATTTCATGTAATTGTGTCTAAACCGTATCAACTTTTATTTTAGGACATGTAAATATTTGAATGAATTATATCATTCTTTTTAAATAATTCAATTTTTTGCTCACAGACGTGCTGGTCTATACATTAACCCAATTTTGTATTTAAATGCAATAATAATACTAATAATTATTAAAAAATAAATTAAAAATAACTAATGAAGAAGCACACTTAATCCAAGCTAAGTGAGCACATGTATATTGTACTGCTTGGATAATAAACTGCATAAATAAACTGCATGTCTTTTCTCATTTTTAATATATAGAAATATAAAATATTTTTTTAATTGATTTGATTGAGTTTTAATTGATTCTTTCCTATGCAGTTGTAACAGAACGTGTAAATTGGAAATAAATGGTTTTTGTCCCATGACTATTTACATGAAACAAACCTACAATTTAATTTTCATAGCCCTGAAAGAAAAACCGCTTTAACCAACTTTTCATCATCCATAAATCATATTTAATTTTAATCATGTACATCTCTTACATGGAAAATTTACATTTATCATTACTGTCACGATAATGTATTTGAGTACAAGTGAGTCATTTTATGAGTGCACTTTTGTTTGTCACACACATGACAGTTGATTTGGCTTACAGGTAATTTCACACACAAGATAAATCTTGAATAAAATAAACAATAAACACAACCTGCGCATAATAAACACACAATTACAATGAACATGAAGCAGCAAGCAGCAATGAAATACAAGGACACAAGCTCCTGTATTCTGCTATGCTGTTACAGCATAATGATATGAGACACATCACATCCATTATATTACACCTGAAAACATCTGCCATTCAAAGCCTTCACATAAATAAGCAACACAATTAGTTGTTGTTTGTGCTAAGAATGCAAGCTGTCTTAAAGTCAACATTTAAGATGAGGAAAGCATCATATAGACAGCATATGGCTTATATAGGTACATACTGTAATCATACAGGCTGTTTAAACTCAACGGACCTTATTCATGAAACACAAGCAAATCTAATTTGAGTAAATCATTCATAAAAACAGATTTATGAACCATTTGCACAGACATTTTGCAAGGCGCTATTCTTTGTAAAGCTGCTTTAAAATAAGTTCTATACAAATATACAGAATTATATTTAAAATTGAACTGAACAAATCCGCTTTTCTGGTGTTTCTCGAATCAAGGACCAATAACAGTCATTTTCCTACAATACAAAACTTTCCTTTTTTATTTAATTTACATCCTGTTAATGAAGAGTCCAGGAAAAGGCTTCAGAATATTAAAATATCTACTGGAAGACAAAATATTGAAATATTTCCCACTCTAAATCTAGTGCGGAGTGTGTGCTTCACACTTCATGTTGATTGTGAGGTACGGTACAAAATTATTGTACAAATTTATATATATATATACAGTGGGTACGGAAAGTATTCAGACCCCCTTAAATTTTTCACTCTTTGTTATATTGCAGCCATTTGCTAAAATCATTTAAGTTAATTTTTTTTCCTCAGTTTTTTTTTCATGTGTGCATTTTCCTCTTTCATCAGCAACACTCAAATGCAGCTGATGTCCATTAATAAGGCACATTTTTCCCTGAGACTGTATATAATATTTCCCACACACAATGTGAGATCATTACAAGATACAGTCACCGCCGCTGAAGCAGTAGTTCAATTTAAAAATTGTATATAAAGGCCACAAACTTTTTTTGCTATATTAAAGGAATTGTTTGCTAAAAACCTACTCACCCTCAGGTCATAGAAGATGCAGATGAGTTTGTTTGTTCATAGGAACAGATTTGGAGAAATGTAGCATTACATCACTTGCTCACCAGTGGATCCTCTGCAGTGAATGGGTGCCGTCAGAATGAGAGTCCAAACAGCTGATAAAAACGTCACAATAATTCACACGACGTCTCTCCACGAACATATGAGTCTCACAAACATGCAGCTTTTCGCTTTTGTTAATTGATGGACTGGAGTGGTGTGGATTGCTTGTGGATTATTGTGATGCTTTTATCAGCTGTTTGGACTCTCATTCTGACGGCACCCATTCACTGCCGAGGATCCATTGGTGAGCAAGTGATGTAATGCTACATTTCTCCAAATCTGTTCCTATGAAGAAACTAACTCATCTACAACTTGGACTGAGGAGGAGTAAATTTTCAGCAAATTTAAGCAGAATAGCATGCTTGGCTTATCTACATCATCTCATTAGAAAAAAAAATACGCTTAAATTAAAGAGGAACATTATTTTGTCTTCAATAACAGCATTAGGTTTGTTTTTGCTCTTGGATTTCTCTTCCCTTTCTCTTAAAATAGTTAAAGGCAAAAATGATGGTGTCAAAATGTAGGGACGATTTCCTGAGGTGGAATCTTTAAAGCTGAAGCGGAGTGATGAAGCTTCGAGTAACAGCTGATCTAAAATATAATCTTATTCTGAAAGGCACATAAAACTGATGCTATGTCAGTTGACAACAAGCTCTGTCAAGTCTCTTATTTTGGACCAGCTCTATTCAGTCATGGGACCCATATCAGCTCTGTTACTCTGTAATATCTGAGGCACTTCCTCTGGTTTACATTTTGATGTTGGAGTAAAGCTCATCGATCAGCTTCCTGAAGTGGTTCCTGAGATCAGCGCGCTTGGCTTTCAGGGTGGGTGTCAGGAGGCCGTTTTGGATGGAGAACATCTCGGTGTGAAGAGCAATGTCCTTCACCTGAGAAGTGAAGATGATGAAAAAGCGGTTATTTATTAAGTCACTTCTTTATGCATTTCAATGCACTCAAAAATATTTAGTCCTCAATTTAAGATTTATGTATTTGAACTGCATATGCAATTTCCATCCATTTGCATTACACATAAACTGATAAACTTAATGATACTGAATATAGTAGTGTTGTATACTATATTCTGTATAGTAGAATATAATAGTGATACTGAAAATTGCTTGTTCCACAGCTAGACATATTTTATCCATATTCATACTTCTTAAATAAATATATGCAATTATTTTCACAATGACAATAATTCAAAGTCCTTTAAAAAATGCATTTTAAAAATATGATTATTTAAATAAAATCAAATGCAAATTAATAATAAACTATACCATGATTGTTTGGAGTGCAGAAATCTTACTTGTTTCTTAGCAGTTTCATTTATGTATAACTGACAAATATGCAGCACACATTAAGTTTATTAGTTTATGTTGAAACTGTATAATCCAAATGAATGGAAATGTTAAAAGCAATTAAAATACATACATCTTACATTTAGGCCTTAATCTTTTTTTTAATGTTTTATCAAGGCGAACCTCACCTGTTCAAAAGACTTCAGGCCACTTTCTTTACCCAGTTTGACAATATCCTCCAGAATGGCTTTCTTCACCTCCTGAAAACACACAGACACATTATTCACACGAAACTTTGTGGTTTGTTAGATACTTACATTTTATTCAAGACCCGAATACACCAATGCATGCAACTCTCTGAAAAGTGTAGAAGTGAACAAAATGCACATGTAAGATCTGTCTTTACCTTATTTTTGCACAGCTCTTCATATGAGCCCTCTATGCCTCTCTTCTTGGCCCAGCCGGGCAGAAAGTCTGGATCAGGCACAATGATGGCTACCAGACAGGCCTGTGGAGAAAATGAGAGAACAATAAATAATAAATACTTTTTCTGCCTCCATCTGTGTGTTGTTCTCTCTCGCCTCACCTGCAGACTGTCTCCATGTACGAAAGTCTGCGCCACAGCTTCACTCCTGATGTAAATGTTCTCGATCTTCTCTGGAGCGATGTATTCACCCTGAGCCAGCTTAAAAATGTGCTTCTTACGGTCCACAATCTTCAGAGTGCCATTCTGCAAAACAAAAATGGTGTGGTGGTTGAGTGTATATGTGCAGGTTTATGAGCACCATCTCTCTTCTTACAATATAAATATGGCAGGATTCAATTTGATTCCTTCAATAACTGAAAACTATCAAAATATTTCCATATAGTCCATTTAAATAATGGCATATTTTACATGAATTTAACCTGTTCTGCTAAAAGGACCAGTAACTGTTTTTTTTTTTAATATAGCATACACTATGTTGGAAAATTAGTTCATTTTTACAATTATGTTCAATCATCCAAAATTAGTAATATGCAAACTATTTTTTGTCAGTGATTGGGTGTTTTTTTTAATCTATTTATACATTACCATTCAAACGTTTGGGCTCAGTAAAATTGTAAGAAATTAATACTTTTATTCAGCAAGGACTTTTTAAATCCAAATTTGATCCAAAGTGACAGTAAAGGCTTTTATAATATTACAAAAAGATTTCCATTTCAAATTAATGCTGTTCTTTGAACTTCCTGTACATCAAAGAATCCTGAAACTGTTTCACAGTTTCCACAAATATATTAAGCAGTAAAAACTTTTTAGCATTGATAATAATAAATGATAATGATGAATAATAAATTCCTGAGTATTAAATCAGCATATTAGAATGATTTCTGAAGGATCATGTGACACTGAAGACTGGAGTGATGATGCTGAACATTCAGCTTTGCATCACATGAATAAATTACACTTTTAAATATATTCAAATATAAAACTGTTATTTTAAGTTGTAAAAATATTTCATATTATTAAAGGTTTTACTGTATTTCTGATCAAATAAATGCAGCCTTGATGAGTAGAAGAGACTTCTTTCAAAAACATTAAAAAAAAAAACTTTCAGGTAGTTTAAATTCCACATGTAAGCACTTAATTAGCTGTATCATGTTTTTTATTTATTTATAATGCACCAAAATTGTGGATCTATGTTCTTAATTTTCTAACTTAGAATAAAATGTGCCTGTGAACACAGAACGAGGGTTATCTATTAAACCGTTCTTACCGGCAACCACTTGCCAATGTCTCCTGTGTGAACCCAACCATCTTCATCAAGAGCTTCCTTCGTCTTCTCAGGGTCTTTCAGATACCCCTTAAAAACATTGGGACCCCTCACACACACCTGCCAGAAACAACACAAGAACTTGTCAGATGTGTGAAAGACCAAATGCAAACACACAACTAACAACACACACATCAAGGTTATTAGTGTTAACTAAAACTAAAACCATGAATAATATCTTTGTAACTTAAATTAATACAAAATAGCTCAAATTAAATTGAAAACTGAAAATATAAGAATAACATATAATTTCAAATCTTAACAAAAGCAATAACAGAATGTAAACAATACTGAAAAAACACTGCATCATATAATTTGGGACTGGGAAAAAAAAATCAAATCAAATTTCTTTAGGGGTCTTTTAGCAGTGATTATTAACCCTACTGACACAGTTATTGATAATGGTTTGTTTTCAACATGATTAAGGAGTTTTTATTCCCTCATATGTTCATATGTACAGGATGATACAGGTGTATGCCATTGTCAAAGACAAGGATAAGTGAAATAGACACTATATATCTTCCAAAGTATGTTTTCTATATATATATATATTATTTTAAACAAAATAAACCTTATTAACTAATATTTTAGATTACTATTTTACACTACAATTTTTTTAGTTTAATTTTTAGTACTAAAATAACTAAAACTACACAAACTAAAACTAATAAATAAAAAACAATAAAAACTATAGATGTTTTTAAAAATAAATAAACTTTCAAATTAAAGTGAAAACAGAATATATAAAAATAAAATCTAACTCAAAATATTAACAAAAACTATAATAATGTCTCTCTTTTTTAAAATAATTTGTCAACTTTTCCAAAGCATTAACAAGAAACTTTATACAACTGCAACATTTTGAATTTATTTCTCACATTACCTCTTTCCACCACAATATATTAAAACATTTTATTTAAAAAACTTCTTATTTAGCGTATACTTAATATACAAATTAAGTATACAGTATATTTAAATTATAGTATAATGTATACATTTTCAAATATATATCCATATCAAAAATGAAGGAATAATTGAATTAATGGATAAATGTAAAAAATAATAATAATATTTAAAATTATATATTACAAACAAATAAAATAAAAATTACAATCCAAATCTTTGATACACTAGTGGTCTGTACATATAATAATATGACTACATTAAATCATTACAATAGTATCTCATTTATATTAAAACAACACGGACACACACACACCTCTCCCTCGCCTTTAGCGGCATAATAGTTCATCTCTGCCACATCCACTAATTTGATGTCATTACAGGACAGAGGAGCTCCAACATGACCTGCAACGACACCATGAAACAGTCAACATAAACATGCAAGTGTGTTAATAATTGCACATGCATCAGTGTGTGTGTATGTTACCAGCAGTCCAGTCTCCTGGTAGTGTAGTTGTGCTGCCGGCGGTGCATTCAGTCTGACCATATCCTTCGTAAAACTGCAAGGAAAAGACATTTACTTCACAACCAGCAGGAAAATGGTATAAAATATGGTGAAATATGTCTAAATGTATGCGTTTAAGTAATCAAACTGTACCTGGCAGCCCAATGCAGCTCGCAGGAAGGTGAGAACAGGTGCTGAAATGGGTGCCGCTCCAGTCAACATCATTCGAACGTGACCTCCAACACTGGCCTACAGGGGGCAGCAGAGACCCATTACTACTCTAAACATACCAGCTTTTCACACTACAACTGTTTCTACTTTAGTCAGCACAAAAGACACAGCAAGCACATTCTCAGGTCAATAATCACCTGGACTTTCTTGAAGATGATCTTGTCCCAAACACTGTCCCTCCTCATGATCCCGCTCTTCATCTCGTTCTCTTTCCTCCTGAACGCAAACTCCAGGATGTGTCTCTTCAGGGGACTGTTGGCCTGTCCGTAGATCTACGAGAGGGTTTCACTACATTACTACTACACGAGAGCATCTCACACATAAAAATACTACGAGAGGAAAGACATGAATGAGGTGAAAGATATCAAATAAGTTGTATTTTAAATCAATAAAGAACTATATTACTAATCCAGTACTACTATTGTGCTGTAAAATAAAAAAATGACTTAAATTATAATAATAATAATAATAATAATAATAACAACAACATCAATAAATTATAATTTGTATTATTATTATTCAAAATATTTTATTTTAATATTATTTTAATTATACAAATGAAATCGATCAATAAATATATTACAATTGCATTAAATCTACAGTACTATAAAATGGGGCTATTTATTATTATTATACAATTATTGTTATTATTATTAATATTTGAATCATAAAATTAAATTAAACTATAAAAACAATCTAATTGCAATAATACCATTTGTACTACTAAATAAAATGAGTATTAAAACTAATCAATTGAATTTGACAAAAAAAAAATACAATATTAATTTTGATGGCACTCTTAATTTCTTTGCTTTCAAACGTTAAACTATAGAGCTATTATTTTGGCGGGAAACCGCTGGGAGAGATTAAAGCTTCTCTTTTGTTAATAACAGATTCATAACCGATTTTCATTACAAATTTGGGAAGATAATTGGTGCGTGCTGCATTTTCAAATGCACAATATAAGCAACCCAAACTCACAGCGCTTGCAGAGTTGGCGTTCGTGTGGAGCAGCATTTACTGAAACGCATGTGTTTTAAATGTATTTGAAAACACAGCCATTTTTTTCCCTCTGATTTACACATTCCTGTTTGCTGCAGGTTTAATCTAGTTTCTGTGATCACTCGCAGGTTTACAGGCTCTTACATATCAATGTATGCTCACCTTGTCAAACATGCGGTTCAGCAGACGAGGAACCACAGGAAATACGGTGGGCTTCAGGGTCGTGAGGTCATCCATCAGAATTCGAATGTCACCCTGGAAGTATCCGATACGTGCGCCGTGCATCAGAATCACACCCTGGGAGTGTGGAAACAGCGTCAGTGGACATGAACAGTCATGAGGTGTAACGAGCAATGCACCATTTTAACACCCTAAATAATGTGTTTATTGAAAAAAAGCTCAAATAACTTGAAAGCACCCTGCACAGACCTGTACGACTCTCTCAAACATGTGTGCCAGGGGCAGGTAGGAGATGTGCACGTCCTGAGGACCAATGGGGCAAGAGGACTGCAAGACAAGAGGCGAAACCAAATGTGAATCTCTCTAATTAGTCATTTAGCTGATGCTTTTATCCTAAATATTATGAAAACAGTAACATATTACAGGTCTAGTCTCCCTGGTGCATCACTTTGTTCAAAGGTAAATCATTGATTGATTATAAAATATTTTTGAATGTAACAATAAAAGAAATTACTACATTTAATTATAAAATAAATGATTGAATTATAATTTATCAAATTAAAATGCAAATTAAAAATACACTTATTTCAACACATATTACACAATGTAAATTAGCATTCTTTTCTCATTACAGTATTAAGAATCGGGGATGAAATGTGCTTTGTCATGAAAATATAATGCCAAAAAAAAAGCGTTTTTTTTTTTTCAGTTTCAGCCAAAGAGTGATTAAAAATAGTTACAAATTGTACTGTAAAATAAAATAATAGTAAAAAATGATTAATATTATTCGGATTAAAAAATGTTTTTATTTTATTATGAATTATAGAAATTAAACAAATCATTAAATAAATATATTACTATTGCAATAATAAACCAATTATGCACAACATGATCTAATTAGTCACTTAAATTTATTTATAAAAATAAATTATAACATTAAAATGCAAATAATAATAATTTCAACAAATATTACACAATATAAATAATATGGCATTTCTTGTCTTTAAGAAGTGGGGATTAAATGTGCTTAACTGTCATGAAAATAAACAACTAAAATATATTCCTAAAAAGTGAAAATGTGCATTCTGCTTGCTAAATGCATTTGAAGTTGTGTGATTATAGGGCTATTATTTGAGACTGTATTTACCTTTGTGACGTAGATGAAGGCAGAAGAATTAGACACTATGTTTCTGTGGGTGAGCATCGCTCCTTTAGGGTTTCCTGTGAGAAACCAAACGAGAAACGTTGTGTCCATCATGGCACTCAATTCACATGTCGTCTGAAATCCTCTTTCAAATTGATTTTACAAACAAGAATTTGGAGTGCTACAAGAGACATTTACATTTATACATTTGGCAGACACCTTTATTCAAAGGACATTACATTGCATTGAAGGCAAATGTACACACCGTCATCAATTCATGCATTCTCTCATGATCTTAGCGTTACTAGCGCCTAGAATGAAGTAACCAATAAAAACATCATACCTGTGGTTCCACTTGTAAAACAAATAATAGCCATGTCATCAGGCTGAGGGGGCTGCAAATATAGTAAATAAATATTAAGAATATAAATAAATGCAAAGACTTTTTACAGAAACAAACCTTTTATAGTTATAAAATATAACACACACTGGCAAACTGAAAAAGAAACAACAGTACTAACCACAGGATGCTGTCGATGAGCCTTGCCGATATTCTGTAAAGGAAGGGAAACTTATTTCAATAAATGATGGAGACAGAGGAAGCTCAATGAAAGAGGAAGCAACTGCAGGCGTGAATGAGGTTTGTGTTTGCGGTAAAGACTGAACTGCAGAATGACAGCAATCAAACACAAGCACAGCCAATATAGCACAGCAGGTAGCACATCAAACTCAGAAAGTTAATCGTGTAAAGTAGGATTTCCCAAACGGAGGTTCACGAGCTGATGAAATGCTAATTAAACAATAAAAATGGAAAATTCAAATAATTCATATATAAATCATTTAAGCAATAATAATAATAATAATAATAATTTAAAAATAAAAAACGCTTAAGCAAATTAAATCATGAAAATGTAGTATTAAAATACATCATATTAAAAAATACTACAAATTGAATCATAAAAATGTCAAAACAATTAAAAAAAAATTTAAATAAATAAATACGTAATATTACGCTAAAAATTTACTAAAAATGTAATCATAAAAACGTAATATTAAAATAAATAATACAAACAAATAAAAAACGTTAAAATAAACATAATATTAAACTAAAATGTACTTAAAATTTAAAATGTTAAAATAATAAAAAAATAAAATAAAAAAAAATACAAATGAAAAGAAATACAAAAAATTATTTAAATCATAAAATGTAATATTAAATTAAATATCAAAATAAAAACACTTAAGCAATTAAAATCATAAAAATGTATATTAAAATATATAAATAATATTAAAATAAACACAAAAAACAACAACCTAATTAAGCCATAAAAATGTTATATTGGTATAAATAAAATAAAAACGAATCAAAATGAAACACTAAAAAAATACTACATTTTAAATAGATTTTTACAAATATTTTATTTGTTTACCTGCATGTCATGTGACCAGTAACCGTCATTAAAGAACAGAGACCATGCAAATATGTTGTTAAATTATTGAAACATCAACTGATTAATATTCATATTATTTTTTTGAAAAATATTTATTTGAAATACTCCTGAGAATTTACGTCAAAAGGGCAGGGGCGGACTTACCCATTAGGCAAAGGTAGGCGACCGCCTTGGGCCCCCAAAAGCCAAGGGCCCCCTAAAATGCTTTTCATATAGGATATGCGCATTAAGCGCTGACACGCGAACGGTTGCTGTTTACGGTGTTTATTACCACGACAACCGTCCGAGTCAGTGGCGCCTGCAGGTGTACAGCACTGTGCGTGCCATGAGCGCTCAGACTGATCTCAGATTTGCCCCGCAAACATTTCAGCAGTTATCATAGGCCTGTGTGTCCCGTATTTCTGTCGACAAATAGAAGCAGAAAATCGTGCTATACTCAGGGCCGCATTAACCATTGGGCTAGGCGGGGCTGAAGCCCCGGGGCCCGAGCAA